CGGATGCACGCTCCAGCCCGCTTCCCCGGCAGCTTTTCGTGTGGCTGCGCCTCGGCGTTTCACGTCCTCCTGCTGGGTGCTCCTGAGAGCGCGCGCTGGAGTTTCTGGAGTATCCCAGTGGTCAGACAACTCGCCCTTTCTCCAGATGAGCTTCGCGGGTGGAGAGGGGGCGACTGGATTATTTGATTTTGCAGTTGGTCCCGCTGCAAACACGCGAGCTGTTTAAATAATAGGGAAACCTCATGTGATTTTCGGCGTTTCACGTCCTCCTGCTGGGTGCTCCTGAGAGCGCGCGCTGGAGTTTCTGGAGTATCCCAGTGGTCAGACAACTCGCCCTTTCTCCAGATGAGCTTCGCGGGTGGAGAGGGGGCGACTGGATTATTTGATTTTGCAGTTGGTCCCGCTGCAAACACGCGAGCTGTTTAAATAATAGGGAAACCTCATGTGATTTAGAAGTTAGGAAATGAACTGAATATGAGCCTGAACTGAAAAGCTGAGCTGGTACTGACAACCCCACTGGTTGATCTCCTCTACCTTTGATGACACCAGTTCATTCTGTTTTGCATGTGAATGGCCTTTTATCACTTTTATAACAGACTTTAAAATGAATTTCTTTCCGTGCCCATGTTAATATTATTTAAGAGGCACCTTTCTAAAAGTAAACATGCTACGGCTACGCTGGCGGCTTCTTGTGCAAGAACTCTTTTGCGGAAGAGTTCTTGTGCAAAAAATCTTCCAGAAGAGAGCGTCCACACTGCCATGTGCTTTTGCGCAAGAGCATCCATGGCAGTATGGATGCTCTCTTGCGCAAGAAAGCTCTGATGGCCATTTTAACCATAGGGGCTTCTTGGCAAGAAATTCATGTTGCCTGTCTACACTGCCCTCTTGTGGAAGAGCTTTTGTGCAAGCGGGCTTATTCCTCCTGGGGAGAGGAATAACTTCTGGAAGAAGCCCTGTTTTCCAACACTATACTGTAAATTTACTTGCGCACGAATGCTCGTGCAGTGTAGACAGCAGGCAAGTTTTTGCGCAAGAATGGTTGTTCTTGCGCAAGAATCTTCCAGTGTAGACATAGCCGTAAAATTTAACATAAATTATTATGACTCTAATGGCTATTGTGTAAATATTAACACTTTGGTTCTACCAGTCTGAGAATTATCCAGTACTTCACAAACATACCTTCAGACCAGCCCTGACAAATGAGTATGTACCATCGTTACAGTTTAGATAACAGAGTCCAGTGCTCTAATGCCCAATAATGTTGGTTTGTTGTGTATATAGATAATTTGCAGAGCCTCTTTTGTGTTTCAGTTTCAGGATCACTACCTCTGGTATATATTGTTGCCTCTGTGATATTGGCATTCACCCCAAAATAGATTACACAGAATACAACAGATATCTGAACAGTTTCATTTTTTTTTAAACTTTTGTTTTCTATCTGAAATAGCCACAGAATGTATCTTGGATGTCTGTTTTTGTTTTGTTTATAGCAATGGCATCGGGAACTGCATTGATTTATGATGATGAAATGACAAGTTACAAACTACTTTGGGATGAGTAAGTCAGCTGCAGATTTGTTGCATTTTCTATGAACAGACTGTTATTAGCATTTCTAAAAAAGTACCAGATGAGCTTGATTTTACCCCATTCTGTCCGATGGAAGGAAATTTGTCACTCTCTCATCTCAATAAATAGATACATAGCTTATTTAGGTAGATATTTTTAATTCCCCATTTATATTAAGATATTATAGCAAGACCTTCAGCTAGACGTTGATTAGCATTTGGCCTCAGCCATAAAAAAACTGCTATGCTAAGGTCAGGCCAGTGCTGCATCCAACTCACTATTGATAGTGCCTCATGCCAGGTGCTTCCGAGGAAATGAAGAGAAGAATAATCACTGAGCAATCCCTCTCCTGTTGTGTCCACTCTCAGCTTCTGGCAGTCAGAAGTTAGACTAGGGATAGCCAGAGCATGGGATTGTATGCCTGACCATCTTAGTCCTCCATGAATTTACCTAATTTTGTTTGAGTCCATTTATACAGGCAGTCCCCGGGTTACGTACAAGATAGGGACTGTAGGTTTGTTCTTAAGTTGAATCTGTATGTAAGTCGGAACTGGCATCCAGATTCAGCTGCTGCTGAAACTGATCAGTTTCAACAGCGGCTGAATCTGGACGCCAGTTCTGACTTACATACAGATTCAACTTAAGAACCCCAGGCATCCCCAAGTCAGC